TTCAAAAAACTCATGAATTACCAGATTTGTAATATTCATTCACTTCTCCAGGCTCCGTACAACGTCCAAAAAGTAATGGAATGAAAAATGAATGAATGAAATAAAAAAAAAAAACAATTGAAAATACATATAATGTCGCTATTCATGCTCGTACAAATGAACAGAGAACACAGGGATAAATACGTTTGCTCACGGTGTGTACCGTGATACGCGTTAACTATACCTAAGGCAACAGTATATGTATGATAATAACGGTGCCAGTGGCTGGTGCGGTGTCTAGCCTAGTACCAGCCTAACCTGACTCAACGTTGTAACGATGTATATTTATACAACAGCTGGGCGGCAAGAGAGGGGAGTGTGCCAGTCAGCTGATTGAAGCGCTGGAGGGGAAACAGTAGAGGGGAGAACGACCTTTATTTAAAACGCTCGGGGAAGCCTTTCTTCGACTGGTAAACAGTCATCGAATGAACATGCGAGACACACAGACGTGCTTACGTATGCGCGTGACTGAAATGTTAACGTTCAATTTTTACTTTCCCCTCCTACTTTTCGTATTAGCGGTAGGGGGGGTATAAGAGAGTTTCGCGGGTTGCGAGACTCACTACATCACATATATTAACATAATTAACCGGAATCCAGACGTTGCGCAGACACGAATTCTTTCTTTTTCTAATCTGCAGTGATCTGCATCAATCGCTATGCACATATTCATAATATTTTCTGATTAGAATTTCCAACGCGCCATTCATAATAATATAATACGTGTTTACGTTTCTTTTTTAAAGCACGCGGTGTTATTGATCTGTGAACTTGTTTCCTTTTTTTGAACTCTGAAAGTTCAAGGGCTACCCGAAGATTTGTAGTAACTGTACAATGCTTTGAAACAATGAAAGGAAAACAAATAGTACTATTGTTCCCGTTACTACTAGTTTTACTACGATGTACATTTACTATTGCTTTCATTCATCGATCGGTCCGCATGTATACATAAGCTAAATACTTACATTGCCTACGAAAGAAGACAATCCATTGGTACTTTACCGTTTTAAGAATGCGTAATTTCAAAGGAAGTCTAAATATCTGTTGGTGAATCATTCCTGATAGACTTTTGTTCCGCTATCCCGAGTTTCCCATCAGTTTCCTTGAACGTCTGCGTTCCTCTTCGTTCTAAGAACGATTCGTCGCCGTTGTAGAAAGTTAAACTTGTTCTAACGAAACGCTGATGCTCGTTTTCAGGGGACTGGCATGGAGAAGGAGAACTCCGTATCGGGCGGGGGCGGCGGGGGCGGTGGAGGTGGCGGAGGCGAAGCAGCAGCCACGGCGACTCCAGGCGCCACCTCCGTCTCCGAGAAACTCCAGGCGGACCAGGCCAATCCGTTGCTCGATCCGACTGCGCTCTTCGGCGGTAAGCCAATTTTTCTTCCCTCAGTTTTTCCTCGCGCCCCCCTTTTCTCTTTCCGAGCTTCTCTTTCTATTTTTCAATGCGTTTCTTGCGCGAACGAACTTCTTCTCCTGGGTTAGTTTTATATATCGTATCCCCACCAAGAAGAAATAAGATTATATAAGATGTACAAAAACAGTAGAACTTAATTATATTAATCACTAAATGCGTCGGTTTAAAAGTTGGAATGCTGCTAATTACTTATGTAACAAGGGTGCAGCATGTAGTGTCTATTCTATTTGTCATTCTTCGTAATACAGCTGAGGACTGATGTTATGAAGAATAGAATAATATCTGATAGCTCTACTATATCTGGTATCTCGTTTATTAATAGCACAATAAAGATATCAAGTTTTACTTCTTCGATTTGTATGCAATTACGTACATAGGTAGCTTACATGAGTGACGCTGTAGATGTGTCTAATTCGACTGGCTTAATTGACACGCGCGTTCTAACAGATCGATGAGCAACTGTAGGCGATAATTGCATTAGACTAACATTCCTGAACGCCATTTTCATGAATTTTCATACATTTTCTGATCGACCGGCGAGAAATTACAAGACTATGGCATAAACAATGAAGAATAAAGTAGGCAAATTTGGAAAGTTCTGGTTCTTCAGAACCTAATAAGATGAGGATTGCAATTCTTGATGATTTCCAAAAATGACTTTCATTTCAATCAGCTGTCAAATCTAATTTCAAACGTTAGACAATGAATTTCACCCAAAAGTCCTCGCTACCAAGTCTTCGTTTTAAAATTAAATTACGGTCAGAATAGTTCTAGAGCATAATCGATCGCAAATGCACACGTTATCGTAGACGCACGGATGATTCAGTATACGCGCATGATTTCTTCCCGTTCATTGATAGTAATGCACTACGAAACAGTCGAACGAACTTCGTCGAGCATTACTTCGTGAAGTTTCGAATGTTGAACAAGTATAGAGACTGTTCAACTCCTTTTCTCGGTTCGCACGTTCGAGCAAAGTGGATACTTTGCATCTTGACTTGCTTCTTCTTCTACTCGGTTCTCTCGTTGCTCGCCCGGGACTCCTTCTAACGCTATTTTTTTTAAAGGAATCGAACCAGTAGGAGCGTTCGTATATTTTATACATGTACGTTTCACTTGTATATAACGCGTTCTCGAGAAAGGAGAGGCCTGTTCGGCCACTTACTTTAATTAGCGCTACTCGCACGTTTGCAATCAGGCACCCTCTCTCGGTTAGTCTTTTCTCCTACGGCCGATTCGAGAATACTTCTGATGTTATTCTTCTTTTTCTCCTTGAGCCACCGTTACGAAGGAAAGGACACGGTCACGATACACGCGGCTTGGACACCGAGGTTTAAATTCTAATTCGAGTATTTACTTTTAAACGATCCCACGACGAGCAGCTGAGGAACTTACCTCGATAATTCTCCCCGGATACTCCGTTTCCGACGCTATTAACTAATTAAATTCGACTGCCGTTTTACCCAACCTCGACCGTCTTCGTTCTTTAACGATATTTAACTTGACAGTGCCAACTGAAACGGGCTTAGGCTCGTATGGACTAATTTGCACAGCTTCCAATTAAATTTAACATCCGTTGCTTTTGGGCAGCCCTATTCACGTTACTTTTTACGATTCCTTCAGTATATGTATTACGTCCATACGTCTTGAAGAGCTTGCTCACTATACTGTGAATTGTATGCATTTATCCAAGGATTACAGTAAATAAAAAATGAAATACGTTTTACCGTTTTCAAAGGGTAAAGAAAATTTCTTTTTAGATTCCATTTTCGAAATTGATATTAGTTTTACTTTATATAGAAATCTGCAGTCTACCGATTATTACAGAATTATTTTCTTAAACGTTTTCTCAAGTCCTATTACTTTAAAAGGATATTTATGTGATAGTAAGCTTTGCGTTATTTCTTTAGAGAACAAAGTTTATGATGCGATTTGAAAGAGAGAGAGAGAGAGAGGGAGTCCTTGGGATATGCTTTCTGACCGGAAATCGAAGGGATCGTAGTTAGAAGCAAAACGGAGCGCCACAACTTTTCGTATGCCGGCAATCAATACCTACCTTTCCCCTGTGTTTTCTTTCACGCTCCGATTGCTGGAAGTGAGTTGATCCTTACTGCATGCAGCATACTCGATACGTTAATAATTATCGAGTCGGCGTCTGCTGACCGAATTACAGTTTCCCAGATACCGTTACCCGGATCAGTCCTCGGCCTTGGTGTTAACCATAGATCACGAAACTAATAAAATGGTGAAGAAAGTTGCAGTATTTAGCCGTTTCGAGCAAAGATATCTATATCCCTTTAATTAAATCGGTCGAGAAAATCGGCACAATAGAATATGGATTGAAAACTCTTTTTCATGCGATAAAAGAATTAGCAATTCAATACAGATTAAAAAATTCATAATATGATTAATGAGATGATTACGGATTGCTTATCTGCATCTGTGCATACCATCTAAATAACTTCCATAGCATTCGAAAAGTATTCTGACCACGTCAAAGACAGTAATTCGATAGTGCATTATTATTTCATATTGGTTTACAGCTCATAGTCGGGCATCCGAATAATTGTACGAGTTATTACACATAATGAGAGAATCGCGAGTTGTTTATCATTGTTCCGCAGTACGAATACCATTCCGACGATTTTCCAGCTATTCGACAGGAATTTTGACAACGTCGAAGTTGGTGAACTCGGCAACGGAGAACCACGCGACTCCTCGCTTCCTTCATTGCGTTGAGTAGGATTTCGTTTATTCCGTTGCTTCACCTCCGCGACCCGACGTTTCGTCCTCGGATTTTCTGGACCTCTCGCATCCCCATATCGCTCTCCGGTCACGCTTTGCATGTCGTTTCTTTCTCTCTTTCCCTTCCTCTACGTTTGCTTCTATCTTTTCAAGCAAGCCTCTCTCCAGAGTCTTCTCTTTCCCTCGCTTTCTCTACCGTTTCATCATATCCCTGTCCCGCTTTCTTTCTCCGTCTCTCTCATCGAGAGAACGTAGCGTCGGCTAGATTCGTGGGGGCTTTGGGGACGCAAGAACGGACAGACGCGACGAACGCTTCTCCACCCCTCTCTCACCCTCAACCCCTATCTTCTCTTTCTCTCGTCGTGGCACGATCTACCACTCTCCTCTTCCCCTCCTCTCTCTCTCTCTCTCACCCTCGGTCTCTGCCGGTTCTCTGTATATTTATTGATTGCCACCTCACCTCGCCTACCATGGCCTCGGTCTGCGGCAGTTTCCCCTCCCTTCAACCCAGTCCCTCGTTTCCCTCATCCCAGGCTCGTTTTGCAGCAAGCAGCAGCATCGCTACGAGACGAGAGAATCTTTCTCTCTCTCCCTCTCTTCAATCCTCTATCCGCTTTCGTGCGGTTCTGACTCTCTTTCGTTCCCTCTGTTCCCTCTTCCTCCCGAGTTGCACCCGACCCTCTGTCTTCCTCCGTTCTGTCCCCTTCTGTGCATCACGGTTTTCTAGCATCCTCTCTCTCTCTATCTTCCTGTTCCTCTCTCTCTCTCTTTACGCGTACTACGCTAGTTTCGCTTCGAGGTCCGACCCCCGCAGCCTCTCGCGCCTTTGCCCTCCTACGCTCGATACAAACTCGTTGGACCCGGCAGAGTTTTCGTTTGAAGCCTTACCCTCCGGGGTGCACGTCGTGCTCGACACCGAACGGCTCGCCTTCCATCTAGCTTCCTTTTCGTTTCGACTCTTTTGCTCGTCTTTCCGTTCGTTCTCGCCTTATTCCGCGTAGTTTTTTTTTCTTTCGTGCCGCTCTTTGTCACTGGCAGAGCTTGCTCGCGCCTTAGGTCCGGGAAGACGCCGCGCCGGGATGGGACAAAGGAGTCGTTAATGGTATGAAGCGGTGGCTTATGGAAACTCGGCTGATGGAAGATTTACGGAGTAACAGCCGAGAAACCATTTATAACATTTATGTAACTTGGTAGCTGGGTCCTAAATCTCCGATTCATATCATTAACGTTAAGTATTATGTAATACCATTTATAAAATATCAAGTAGCTAATGATGATTAAAGAATCGCGTTTTTGAAATGATGCTGTTGAGTTACATGCGAAACAGAAATTAGATCATACACACGGTTAAAAAAAAACCAGGTGAATGTCTGTAGCTTACAAAGGGAAAGGAAAACGGATAGAAGGAAATACATAGAAGCTTGCATTCCTACGAGTTGTCTCGTTTTATAACCGTAAGCATGAGGCTGACCCTCCCACGGAGCGTGTCGCGCTTCTATTTCGCGCGAACGACGCGTGGGATGAGTTTCGAATCTTAACTTCGTTTGAAGCCAGCGCGAGCCCCCTTCCCTCCGTCGCATCGACGGAGAGATCCGTGTCATCGTCATTACGCGGCATGACGAAACGCGTCGCTGTGTGCGTACGTCGTTAAGTTTTCCAAGAAGCTCGTCAGATGAAATCCTGTTAGGCCGGCTACAGACCTGTGTCACATCGGCCGCGCAAGATTGCGCGGGTGCGCAGGAAATCCAAGTTTTGTTCGTGCTTGCCAGCTCGACTAACAAACAGCGCACGCGAATATTCCCACAGATTATTTAGAAAAATTTTCATACTTTACTATACTTTTTTAACAAGGAACATAAATTTGTTAATTATTTCAATCTGTTTGAGCAATAATATACGCTGTTTGTTCGACATTATCTCTGAAGTAATTAGTATGTAGAGATTTAGGCTCCCAAAACTGCAGGTCCGAAGGTCATTGTCAACCATAGACCACTTGACAAGTCCGAATTTCTTTTCTCTTTCTTCTTTTTCTCCTTTGCATTTCTTTCTTATCATGTGCCGCGCTAGATTGTAAAACCGACTTTTTCAAGTGGATTTTGCGCGGATGTGCGGCCGCGCATTGTGCAAGTTTGTAGCCAGCTTTAGGCGAGAGGGAATGCGCGCGGCGAACGGATTCGTCGAGAAGGGGAAAAAATAGGTTCCCTTAC